TAAATGAACATAAAGAATTAAATACACATTACACGTCGACGGTCACAGAACGGAGAATCTTCCATACTTCCCGAATCCGGGGTCGAGAATAACGATTCCTATGAAAAAGAGTTGACCTTCACATATTTTTGAGTGATCAACCACAAGTTACACCTTATCTGAACGTAGAATTTGTTGTTGTTTCCGAATCCGTGATAAAAAAAGTAGGGTACTCCAGGGAAATACAAAGTTGACCATGAAATGATCTTGGCGGATCTCCCGGACCTGATGCGTGATAGGTCATCTAAATCCGAATCCGGAGTCGAAAATAGGGGTTTCTATTTAAAAAAAAAACAAAGATGACCTACAAATGACTTTGAAAATGGCCCTCATGGTCAAATTCAAGGTCACCATAATATGTCCCCATCGGAGACGAGTAAATTTTATTCGAAACATTTCTCGCTAGCTCTGAGAGTTTTTTGGGTTATTTTGGTGCGTAAGTTAAAATGGAACACCCTGTATATTAAATATAGTATAAGGTTAAAAACACTTCCTTGAACGACACCGGCTGTTATTGGATAAAAATTGGGTGTTCCATTATTTATTCTTACCTTAAACACTCTAGAACTTAGATATGATTCTATTAGTGGTAAAGTTCTTTTGGTAGGATAATATTTAGGTTACATAATAATCCTTGGTGCCAAACTTCATCAAAAGCTTACGCTACATTGAGAAATACATTCGTTTTTTTCAAAAGTGTTTCTTATTTTGTTAGTAACTCTATTTATTTGTTCTATTGTGGCATGATTATTTCGAATACCAAGTTGATGGTTAGGTGTTATGTTCTGATCTTGTAAGACTTTATTTATCCTCTTTGTCTTTATTTTTTTCACAGATCTCAAAAAGCGTAGGCAGAAAACTAATTGGCCTGTATGATGTGGCATGCTGAGGAATTTATTTACTCGGTTTTGATATGAGTATTATTGTTGCTTTTTTCCATACCGTAGGAAAATCGTGTAGATGAAATATTGAATTTAACACAATAGCTATATATCTTTTCCTTACTCCTTTGATGACAAATTTTTTCAATAGTTTTGCATTAATATTATCCTGTTTTTCTTATTTTTCAAGTGATGAATTATATCTTACTTTTTAAATAACTGTTAAATGTTAAATGTCTGTCAAAGGACTGGTTATTATAATTACCACATGTTTTGGTCTTAGTACTGGAGATAATTTTTGTTATACGAGTTTTCTTGCACTACAACCTTTATAGCTATACGTAAATTCTGTTACAGTTTGCACATTTTACTTATTTAATTTTACTTGGTATCGGATAATTAGCTGTCAGATGGTTATTCGGGCATTTTACGTAAACTGGTGTTCTGTGGCAATCATTTTTGGTATGTCTATATTCTTGACATTGTACGTATACACTGTGGGATTTCTCTTTTTTTACACGGAGGTTCAAGCTAATTATTTGTTGCATTAATTTATTTATTTGGAATGTTTCTTTATTGTTTTCTTTTGTTTTTTATTCTAAAAAAAATATCCGTAACGGTTGTTTAGCAATTTTATGTTTCATATTTATTATTTTTATCACGTGATGATTACATTTTTTAATTTTTTTAAATTAATTTAGGTCAATAGATGGGTGCATATTCTTTAACATCGCTTTATAGGATTTGTTTTCTTTCTGTTGAAAAGGATAAAAATTAGTGTTTTTCTTTTTAAGTTCTGTTACAGTTTGATAAAATATTTCTGAGTTGTTCATTGGAATTTTAATTTCCTTATTATTCAGTAATTTTAACGTGTATTCATTTTTAACTATATTATCAAGTAATTTTTCAAGGAGGATAATGTTTAAAACTCCGTTAGCAAAAATCGTCAGTGCTTTTGTGGTTTAAGCACTGTAGGTGTTGTTATTAAATTGTTTGTACTACCCGTGTTATCGTTAGTTTTTAATGTAAGTACTTCATATGGTTGCTTAATTCTAATTTGTTGTTTCAATTTTCAAATCAGTAGTCACTGATGTGTGTCTGTCTTCTCTTTACGGTTTTGTTATCATCTGGGCTATTTCTTGTCCTTTTGCTTTGTACTGTTTACCATCTAGAAGATTGTTTTCTAATTTTTCCGAGTTATTTGTTGTTGTTATTGTCTGCTTTTTTTTTGTTTATGTAGCCATATTGGCTAAAATAAACGTAACTGTTACTGTGTGGTTTTTTTATTTGAACTGTTTACAGTTACTGTACTACCCTAACGATCGCTCGCAAATTTTGGAGAGCAATTAATCAGATATCCCCACTGTCTGAGTGCTGTGAGCCAAGTGAACAGCAATAAAGGTACATAAAATTCCCTTGCTACGTTGGTTTGTGGAATAGTAGAGCTACTGAAGATCATTGGGAAAAATCTGATGGACCATTGGACAAATGTCTGAACCTAGAATTATTCAATGTTCTCAAGAAACCGCTCTGTGATTTAAAAGATACTTTTACCTTCCTGGCACATAAAATTAAGACTGATATAGCAATATACCAAATAGACAAAACACTATATCAGAATAAAAAGGCTTTAAGTATGTGTTCTCAGGTTTATCTGATATAAAGATAAAAGGAGAAGTCTTCACAAGCTCAGACATAATAAAGCTGACGAATCCGAAAGATGAATGTATAATGATGAAAATAGAACGATCTGCATGGATCAATTTCAAGGTGGTTAAAAAAGAGTTTTTGGGCAATACAAAAATGAAAAATTATGAGGTAATCCTTAGAAAAATACTTACCAGTTTCAAAAAGTTAGATTGTAATATAAATTTAAAAATACTCTTTTTAAACGCTCATTTAAATTCTTTTTCTGAAAATCTTGGAAATTTGAGCAAAGAGCAAGAAGAAAAATTTCACCAAGATATTTAGGAGATAGAAAAGAGGTATGAAGGTCGATGAAAATTTAATAAGTTAGCTCATTCCTGCTGGAATGATGATAGATTAAAACGTGAAGATGATAGATTAGAACACAAAAAAAAGTCAGGAAAAGGAAGTCTAAATGTGAAGAGGAAAAGGTTTCATAAATATGGAGGTTAATGACAAGATGAAATAGGACACCTAAAATACTATGCACTTAGCCATCACAGGCTGCAACGTCATTAGACTAACCTATCGTGGGTTTAGCTTTCGCAGGTAACAGCGCCCATATTTGTACTTACGTTGGTGTCCATAAAGTATAACTTTTAGTAACTAACTAAAAGATAGTGTTTTACGCTATTTTAGGCTAGGAAATTTTAAAAAGTATAGGTTATAGTAGAATTTAGTTATAGATATCATATTAAGTAATATAAAAAACGAAATAACTTACGTTGACTGCTTTCTGGAAAAATCTCAAAACTGTAACAAAATCCAAAAAATACTGAACTTCAGTTAACGATATCTTAAAAGAAAAAAAAGATTTTTAAAAAATTAAAATCATTTTTAAAAACTTAAAAAAGATTTTTAATGGGTAAGAGTGATACTTTCAAAAGACAAAATCCGTTTTTAAGAAAAAAAATTAATTCACAATGGAATATAAACTTAAACATGACGGAAAACAGTGTTTTTTCACTATTAAGTCTGGATATCTCAAAAGTCTGACGGTTAAAGGAATTCTAAAGCCGGATTCGGATTCAGTGCACCGAAAACCTTCGAGGTATATTACTATTATTCTTGCGATAAATCTTTCTTGACCTGTGTTACTGAATGGTTTTAAAAAGAAGCATTTGAGGTAGAATACTTAATCATAATTAAATAAAATAATACAACGAAAACGAAATATTATCCTGAATTTGTATAATAGAGAAATTTTAGTATACGAGCATTAAATGATTATAATACTCACATTGCTTTCTTAATGAATCAAAAATTAGAAAATATAATTAAAATAAATAAAAACATTAATTGCAAATAGAAAGCAACTGGTGTAGTATATCAATTTAGCTTCTTCTGACCAGCAGCATGAGCGCACAAATAAAAAAATTTTTTTTTCGTGGATCTATGGTTCCTTTGTACTAAAAACTCAAAATATAAAGTAATATATCGTTTAGTGGATATATATTCTTATATTTTCTTATATGAATGTATGTCTACATACGAGGGTGGTCCGATAAGTACTTAGCCTCACTAACTAACAGAATAAGGTTTAAGCATCGACGAAAGCAACACAACATAACAAGTAAGTTAGTCAAGTTGGTCAGCTAATTCATGGTAATCATGGAAATTCATGTACGTAATCGATATTGCGAGGCACGGAATAAAGCGAGTATATTGTCGCAATGTACTATTTTCTTGTCACTCTTTTCTTTATTGTTTTCTCTAATCCGATTCGATTGTTAAATTAGCACAAAATGAGAGAAAATGCGATGAATGCTTTCAGATTTCTCTTTGTATGAGTAACTTATGTAGAAACGCGAGTGAATAAATCGATTGCTTGTTAATAAAACTGTGGCTTTATATGTTGGTGATCTTGCTATATCTCTTGTATTCTCGCTTTCGAACTCGAACTCGTTAACAGTTTAACCTTTCGCTGTCGACTTCCGAGCAGGTGACCTGATGCCTGGACTGCACAAGATATGGTGAAAGGTGTCGCACAGATATTACGTCAAGCAGAAAAATATTTACCTTCTTACAATATATAGAAAGCGAAAATTCATATGCTAGGTACTTTTATAAGCATGTTGAATGAATATCTTAATACTGACCATTGTCGATTCATGATAAGAATAAAAATCTGACATTTTTATATAATAAAATAATCCATCTAATCAATTTTCGGTGCGTATAATACATAAAAAAATCTTGTTTCTGAAATATGTTGACTCATAATATCATTATAAAAAATTATAACTCATCTTTCTATACAAGAGAAAAGTATATTCCAATGCGCTATATCTCTGGTTGTTGTGAAAAGATATTGTAATATTTAATTATGTAGCGGAATATTATTTTTTACTCGATTATGTTTGGAAATTATTCTATTAAAAGATATAATTTCAGTTATTTCATCAATGGGGAATTGAATAAAATCAAAAAAGATTTCAACAAATACGATATAAATAGTGAAATAGACTTTATTCTAAGTTATTTCAAGGATTACAAAATATCATTATCAAAAAATATTGAAAATTTAATCGAAGCTGATGGATTTGAAAAATGGCGAGAAAAAGAGGCCATAAATTTATCAAATTTAGTACAACAACGTTTCAGGTCAGTAAAATTAATTTCCATTTTCATATTATCTAATGCTCAACATTCTGTTATCATATGCTGAATGTACAATGTTTAGTAACTTATACATTTTACTCACAACAATCTTAATATTTTATTTGGATTATATAAGAAGTACTAGACTACTTCACTTCAAAATGATAATATACTTCTACGGTTTATTTGCAACAACACTGCCGGTCACCTACTTTGGGTTCCCTGCCACAAAATTAATCAAAACTTCAAAGTTCAATGTTTCTAGTAAAAATTAACGTGCAGAGTCGCCCAGCAGCGCGTTTGAAAGGTCTTTCCAAGAGCTTTCAAATGGTATGACTCACGGATACGAGTACCATAGATGTTTTTTTAAATTTTTGCAAGCAATAATTCAACATTTTAAATTCGGAAACTTTTTCGCTACCTTTGGAAATTTGCCAAATTTGGAAAAAAATTTTACAAAAATTTAAGTTAGAGCATTTTTCAGCTTTTATCAAGCTCTATCTCAATCACTTATCAAAAAATTATTTTCGTCAAAACCGACACACGCTCGGACATTTTTTTCTGGAAGTGATAATATTTTTAAACATTTTAGAAGAAAAAATATTTGTTTTTGCAAGTGGAATACTGTACACAAGGCGGTCATAAAGATATTTTTTGATTAAGCGTAGGAGGGCTACGGAATTTTATCTACCATCTGTTTCACGAAACTCGGCCTTTTAGAGACTCAAAAAAATTAACATGGGAAAGAAATTTATTGCAAAATCTAATAACATCAAAAAGAACAATATTTTCACACTTTTAGAATAATATATCTCAAAATCCTGACGTGCTGGAGCAATTCTGAGGCCGGATTTGGTTTCAGCGCCAAAAATTCTTTGGGAAAATATATATGATTTGCTTGTGCAAAAAATTAAGGTATTTTTGTAGGACTGTGTAATTTATAGATTGGTTATAGCGCTAGTAGATTTGAATTTATTATTTAATCTAACAAATGTATCTTTATTTCAATAAAACTTGTATGATCAATTTTATCATGTAATATGTTGTGGAGAGGTAAATGATTCATGAGTGTTTCTACTAAAGCAGGTTTCTAATGGACTCACAAATGATGATGCTCAAATGGAAGTACTTCACAGGTGAGAGCGAAGGTTGAGGCTCTTACATTAAAATAAAACAAAAATTATTTATTATTATTATGATATTTATTTGAATAAAAGTTACTTTACATAAACGTCTTTATTCTTGTATACGTATAAAGTCTTATCTATTCATGAATTGTGCGAGTTTTCGAATCCCAACCATTTAACATATACTAGATTGCCACATTTCTGTAGAACTTTTTCAATAAGATAAACATGAGAATAGTAAAAATTTGTGTTGATTAGTTGGGAGTATATCCTTTTTCAAAAATGTGTTTGGACTTGCTCACTCGTACTTTATCTCCTACTCGGAATTTGGGTTTCTTAATGAAAAGACGTTGGTCGTAAAAGAATCGCCTCAGCACTTGCATTTCATTCTCTTTAGTTACATCTTTAGGCTTCATATCTATTGTGCAATGTTTTCAATTATTGTAAAATTCTATTATATTAGGGAGAATATTAATCCACTTATAATTTCCTCTTGGACTAAATTTTTTCCACAAAATATTATTGAGTGTACGATTAAAAGGTTCACAAATAGACGTTTTGAGATTATTATAGATAGAATATAGATTTATTTCATATTTTATCATCAGACGTTGGAAATTTACCTCTTTCCACTTCGAAATTTTTAGAAATACGTCCTCCTTTTAATACAGTCTCGAATGCATCTGCGATATCTGTACCAGTTTTCTGTTTTACTGGAACTCCTCAAGCATATTTTGAGAATGTACTCGTATCTATAATAATTAACAGATAGCGAAAACCTTTGTTCTCTTTAAAATAGCCTTACATCTCATCAAGATCAGCTTGCCATGTCTTATCTATTCCACGTATATCGACTTTTCGACGTGGATAATTACAACGTGCTGGTTTGTTTAACTTATCTACTACTCTTTGATATTTTGTTTTTAATATGATTGTTATTAATGTTATAGAAAGCTATAGGATACAATTTCTAAGTCTATTTCCTTATTATTTCCTTTTTTGTTCTCTTGTAAATTTATAATCGCTTCTCGATACACTTCTAATTCTCTCTTTATTATCTTTATAGAATTTCTAAGATTATTTATTGCAGTCGTGAGCGTAGCAACGTCAGCTTTACTAGTTTTTTGCAAGGTTTGTAAGTGTACAGCATCGTTATTCTCCTAAGGATCTGTTATATTGCCAATTCTTTTGTCATCCGCATCGAATTGTCCGTCTTTAGTGATTATATACTCTATATCAGAATGACTTCGATTACACACCTTTCTATTCAATTAACATCCAAACATATCAGCACTCATTTTACTACTGATGAATATTCAGGATTCTCTTAATATATACAGCCAACTTCATGTAATTCTTCAATGATAGAATTTAATTAATATGACTAGGATTATCAGCGGTTTGTTCGGTAATAAGCAATCTTAGTCGATCAACGAGCTCGTTTGGATTATTCAAATATAAGTATTGAAATATGGCTTCTTTCCTTGCTATTTTATAGTTAAGTAAAAGTCCTCTTCCATTAATAGTCGATTTTCGCTTCTTAGCACCACTACTCAGTGATAAATTAGGTCCAATGTACTTTTTAAATTTGTCGACGGTGTTATTACGATATTCTTCATTTGCTTCACATCTCTTCCCATGAGCGTTAGTGTTTTCAAAACTTTTTATATAATTTTCAATATTCAATGAGCTAATTAATTTAGATTCGAGTTTTTTACGAAAAATAAATTCCATCAAACCGGGTGTCTTGCTGTATGCTTTATCATTTTCGAAGCAAATTGGAAAATTGTCTATGATATATGGATTTTTTTGCAAGCGAACACCAAATGTCTTGTCTAAATTACTTTTTTGTTGAGGTTCATGCAATAATCGAATATAGTTTCCTACAATCGAATTAACCAATAGTAGTTGCTGTTATTGTTCTGTAGTTACATTTGACCTAATTTTGTCTAAATTTATAGCAGTTGTATCAAGTTATAATTCAGCAGTCTTATCTAATTCCCCACAGAACATGAAATATTTCTAAAATATTTTATGAAAGATTAAGAACATTTCTAAAATATTTCATAAAATGTTTCTGAAATATGGGAATGTTCGGGACAAAAACAGTCCTGAAATATTTCAAGAAATATGGCTTTCAAGGAATGTTTCAGAAACATCTCAAGGAATATTTCTGAAACCTTTCATAGAATATTTCTAAAATCTTTCACGTCTATTAAAATATATTAATATCATACCTCAAAAGCATGGTCATTGAAATCGATTAAATTTGATAGGAATCATTATGATTAGATTAATTAAATTAAATAATATTTCAATAAGAATGATCAGCATTGAATGAATTATATTAATGCAATTAATTGATTCCTTTTTTAGTTTTATTTAATTAGTTTTAAGAGTATTTAAGGGATACAGATTCTCAATTAAAAATGATTGCAGTTTTTGAACAATACATCAATAATATTCAATAGCATACGTCACAGTCAATCGATTTTTATAAATGAATTTAAATTGTAACGGAGAATTCCGGCCGTACCCGTTTGGGCTGCTCGCGACCGTCCGCACAAATTATTTATTCGGGGATTCGGGAAGCAAAAGACGTTCCCACGACTGAATAACGCGTCGAGCATAAACACGTTAAACGCACAGATTCGGAGTCGGGATGAGGAGTGATACAGCGGCGAATAAACACCACAGCGGATTAATACGTTAGTCTTTAATTGTCAACAAACGATTACAATACGGCAACCTCGGACTTACACACTACGAGCGGTACAATAACAAACGCGAACGCGAAGGTGAATCGGTGGCTGGTCAGCCTGCCGATTCCCTTATAAAAACTAGATATTATACAAATGCCCGACAAACGCTTTTCGCTGATAGGCTATTAACGGGTAGCCAACAGGTCTGCTGTGCTACCAACCATAGACTGACGCCCAAACATGCAAGAGAGAGAGAATCAAGAAAAAAATACGGCACCGACCTCGACCTTCAGCTTCTCTGACGGCTAGAGCGCTCTTCAGTGTGGCGTCACTGGTGTGCTCCTCGCTGACCGTCTCGCTGATACTTGTTGTCGCCGCTATTTGTTTTCTCGCTCGTCTCCTCGCTTGCTCCACAATATAGCTGCCTCGATCCGTATATCCCAAGAATTGCTGTTGCCGTTGTTTCTGCCGCCTCCTCGTTGCTCGGCGCTGCAGCACGTCAGATTCCTCGCACGCTCACCCGCGCACCTCGCCGGTTACCCGCACGCACTGGTGCCGGGTATCTTTTGGGACACGGCTGGGCGCGACCCAGCCTCACGCTCTATCACTCGTCCGCGCACCGGGCGTGTCTCCGAGACGAACGAAACGTCGGCGAGGTCGCGAGGCCAACTCGAAAAAACCGTGTCCTTTCGGTTTATCCGCGCGCGCGACTTTCTCTGCTCATTGCTTAGCAAAGACTCCCCAATTTTCCGCGGCGATCCGCAATTCGAGCGCTTTCTCTCTCTCTCTCTTTCTCTCTTCTTCTGCGCCATCTGCGTCGCTCCAGTCGTCAGCTCAGTCCGTGTTCAGCACCTCGCAAACAAAAGGTCCAAGCATGAGTGTGTGTGCCAAATGTACACACTCTCAGCCTGGCGCGGCGCACGGACATTTGCGAGAGCTAAACGGACGAGATCTGCCTAGCCGAGATTCTCCGTCACAAAATATAAATCATTTTGAATCCTATTCAATATACATACTGAATCACATTATTAATATTATGAAAATACATGCTGAACCATTTTCAATCGCGTTCGGAATATTGCAGCTTGTAAGTAAAGTTTTTGTCTTCGGAATGGATAAGGGTAAATGACTCGGTGCACGGATAACTTGGGTAGCGATATTTATTCACAAGACT